TTGAACCATGTTACCAGCATCCCAGGGGCTCCAGAGCCTGCAGACCACTTGTCGTGGGACTTCTCAGCAGACTCTCCTAATAAATTCTCTCATATATCTATACCCATATCCTCTTGGTTCTGTCTCTGGGGAATCCCAATACAGGAGGACAAGGGAAAACCTAAGTTAAGGAGCCAGCCAGGAACACATAAGAACATAGTGGGTGCTTAATCAATTCAGTGCTGAGTCAGTAATTTTTTTTTTTTTTTTTCTGTACTGGTAATCAAACTCAGGACCTTGTGCTTTCCAGGCAGGCACTGTCAATAAATATTTGAACACCAAAAGCATGTTAGGCAGGCTACAGAGTGCCTACATACAGCAGTATATGAGGGTAGAAGTAGAAAAATAGTAAAAAAAAAAAAAAAAAGTATCCCAGAGGGGAATAAACCAATAATGGGGTGCAGTGACTTACAACCTGAGCCCTAAACAAGGGGCCCTGGGGTCCAATAGAAAGAGGGAAGGCCCAGTAACGAATGAGGGAAAACCTTAGGAAATGCCGCACAGGTCATGGACAGAGTTTGGAGCAATGACAGCCACCAAGGGTGTTCAAGCTGAGGAAGATTAAGACTTTATTTTGGGTTACATTTTGGAAAGTGGATTGCTGGGAGATCAATAGCCAAGTAGTTGCAATAGCTCAAGACACACAGAGTGGGCTGAGTGGATCTGAAGAGAGAGATTTCAGACAGGTTCAGTGGGGTGTGAGGACTGACAGGAATCAAGGGCAGCAGGACAGTTTACTGCCAATTTTGCTGTGTACAGGAGTGGGGGCTTTGGCAGAACAACTTGAAGTTTGGATTTAGAAATGCTGAGTCTTGGATATTTGTGTAGAACCCAAATGGAGTGAGAGAAGGAGTCCAGGCCCAGAGGCAGGAGGAGATGGGAGGCACCAGCACGTGGGTGGACTTGAAGCCATGAGAGCTGCCCTCAAAGCCGTGGAGGTAAGGGAACGAGAACAGGGCTAATAGCAAGAATGAGGGGCCTCTGCCTCTGCCACTGCAGAGGAAAGCTGCTAACAAAGGAAACAGAAGTGTCCGACTGGCAGGAGAACCAGGAACATTTGGTGGCAAGCCATGTGCGGGACACACTACCACTGTAGCACAGAGACAATGTCCTGCCCTTGCCCCATACCCTGAACCCAGACACACCCTTGCGATCTGAACAACAAAGCAGCAGCAACAGGGACGCGTGCCACATCCAGGCAGAAGTGCAATGAGCACAAGCACAGTTCCTCACCCCTCCCTTCCCCCTGCCTCTGAGGTCATAGAAACAAGTGTCAGATCTCGGACTGGGGAGTCCTCTTGTCACTTGCAGTGGAAATGGTGGTGTGAAAAATAAACCTCATAAACAGAGCCATGCTATGGCCTGGGTACTGCTCTATCACCATCTTAAAATTCTCAGTAATTCTTGGATACGGTCTCCCATTTCTATTATGCAGCCAGTACTTGTAAGTCACTGAGATTTTCTGGGTCATTACTGCAGTGTGAGGGACCCTGTTCTAACTGATAAGCCAAGAAAAGTGGGGAAGCTGAGAAGAGAATGCCAAATGGCACCATGAGGCCCGACCAGGAAAGCCGGACAGGGCTGGTGGAGTTAGGACACAGACAACCTACTCCAAGAACTCCGTCTGTAGAGAGACTCCTATGAGACAAGAGGAAGGGAGTGAAGGTGGAGTGAGGGGGTAAAGGAAAATAATGGGAGGATGGGTATGATCAAAATATATGCATCTATAAACATACTACACTGAGACCCAATGCAGCGGTGCCTCAGCTCACGAACAGTTTGGTTTGCATACAGAAGTGCACTGGGTAGAATTTTGTTTTTATGAACTCTGCATTGGCTGACGAACATGACTGTGGCCATCATTCCTGCATGAACACAAACACGGACATCCTTTCTAGAATCATGGAACAAATTAAGTTTGTGAACCGAGGTCCTGCTATATTTTATAAAATTAATAAGCACTCATGAAAATACATGAAATAGAAAAGTACATCTGTGAAGAGAAAGGACAGAGAAGAAGCCAGAGGAAGATATAAGACAGAAGGAGCTCTATTTGGTAAATATTCATAAAGTTTTCAGTGCCAAAGTGAAGCAGTTTTTCAAGGCTAGTGTAAAGACATAGGAAAGATGGGGGCAGACCACAGAGCAAGTCCTCTCGGGAAGGAGGAGGGACAGGCCCCAGGCACAGGCTGCAGGGCAAGTGCTTCCTTTTAACTGAAGGAGGAGGCGGGGTGTGGTAGGTTGCAGATACAGGAAGGGCTGCTGAGAACACTCATGCCTGGGGCTCTCTGTTTTTATCTGTGAGGCAGATGGGAGGTCATCTGCTTAGTGTGAGGGATCCAGGAGATAGCAATGGATGGGTGGAGACTGTAGGAAACAGCTGCTGTGGAACCCTTGCAGGTGAGGTGACCAGGGGACTGTGACTAAAATTCTGCTAGGGCAGGTGCCTTTTCTTTGCAGCTGAGCAGGTGGCTAGAAATGGTGGCCAGATCTACCCCAAGAGAGATCACCAGATGGGTGAGAAGGAAACAAAAGAAGGAAGACTTCTTAGAGGCTACTAACACCACCATTAAAAATGGCAGCACCTAACACATTTCCTGGGTAACACCTTTCTAAAAATTTTCACTTTCAAGTCATTTACTCTTCACTGCGCCATGAGGTACTACTCTCATCACCATTTGAACAAGGACAAGGCAGAGGGACTGGCAGACAGAGTCCCAACAGGGCCCATTTGTTATGTTGTGATTCAAGAATAATTCACATTTAGTGGCTGGCTTAAAAATATTGTGTGCTTCCATATTCTAGGTGAGAACGCCTCTGTTTGTTAAGTTTCACTGAACACACATTTGTTGAGTATCTACTGCTTGCCAGAGCAGCAGAGAGCTGTGATTAGAGGTGTCTCTGTAGGAACAAAGCCTGACCGGACTGCAGCCATCTTGAGTTGTAAGCATCAAAATTGCCCCCGAGTAACCCTGGCTGGTTTTCCCCATTCCCCAGCATACTATAAACAAAGCCATTACAGTGGTATGTGGAGCTTTACAATGGACCCTGGTGCCAGACAGCACCAGGAATGTGGCTGATATCCTTGTTATACTAGCTTGAGATAAACCAGGACCATCTCAGCTTGGATGAAAGCTACTTTCATCCTAACTCTTGTATATGATCCTTTCTCTGAACCAAGCTGTGGGGATTCACTGGCCTTGCTGTTGCCCTCAACCATGCTTTTGAGTCCCCAGTAAAACTGCACTCTGTGTGATCCTGAATATGCTTGCCTATTTCTTTGGTCACCCGGCACCTTTGGCCTACAGTGGTCAGATCTTTCCTGTCAGATTTTCCTTGAACAGCTTCTCTGGTCTGTTCACTAAGCAGGTGCTGGTGCTCTGGAAGACAGAAGATTTAGGTTCCTGGCTCTAGCCATCTGGCCTAGGGCAACTTCCTGCCCTTCTCTGGTGCTGTTTCCTTATCTATACATTGAGGGATTGGGATGGGTAATCTAGAAGAGTCTATTTTTGCCCCACCACCATGATTTGCTAGCTTGGGAGAACATGCTACCTCTGAGCCTTGTCTGTTGCCCTTGACATCTGATGGACACAACCGTGTGGGCTGTGGAGGGCTAGCCAAAGCAGCGGGGCTCCCCTGTGTGGAGGACAAGGGCTACTCGCTGTTTCCCTCTGCCCTTCCTCGGAATGGAGTCTGGAATCTAAGCACAGTGGGGTGAATGCCTGCTGGGATGGGATGAGGACAGGGAGAGACCACCTGAGGCAGCCACCACCACCTTACCACCAGACCAACAGGAGTGCCTTTGCTCAGGCCTGGCCATGCCACCAACTTTACTGACAGGAAGTGTACCTTTAGCCCCTCCAGGCTTTTCTTGGTGTTGTCACAAGACTGCTTCCTGGGTGACATGCTGGGATGATCTGCGTGTTTTGGTCGCCTGTGTCACCCCCTTTCCTGTCAGCAAACCACAGCCTGGTCAGCTGCCCAGCGCCTGGACTCAGGATAGCAAACAGCATGGTTGAGACCAGAAGATGGTATCTGCATTCCCTCCCCTTTGTTTCTACTCCTCTTCCACCTTCCTGTGGGAACGGAGAGCAGGTGATTGTTCTGCTTGATGGCTTTTGGTACTTATTACCAAAATCTTCCTTTTAGGAGCACTCCCAGCATAGGCAACTGAACCCAGGGACCCACCCCACCGGCACAACACTGAAGAGAGAAGCTTTCAGGCCTGGTGCTGCCTCTCTCTGAGGCAGAAGAGAGAGGAGGGGAGAGGAAGGCAGACTCTTCTAAACTTCTTTCAGAAGACTTGTGAAGCCAGTAAGGTGATTGCTGTGCTCTGCCCAGGAGTCCTAAAAACGAGCTTGGCAGCACCGCTCCCTACAAGGGTGGCACGGTGCAAACTGAGTGGAAGCGGCTGGTGGGGAGAGGGAAGGAGCAGTAATAGCTGTCAGATGCTGTGACAGATACTTCATATGTGCATTCAGACGAAGGAGCTAATAAGGCAAGGTTTGGGAAGTGATCTATTGAAGGTCTCAAAAATATTCTGAGCTGGGCATGGTGGCGCAGCCTGTAATCCCAGCACTCGGGAGGCTGAGGTAGGAGGATCATTGCAAATTTGAGGCTAGTGTGGGCTACAAAGTGAGCTGAAGGCCAGCTGAATAGTGAGACCCTGTCTCAAAAACACACATACACACACACACACACAAATCTGTAATAGCACCTAGATTCCATGGGAAAACTTTTTCCTGTCCCACACTGCTCACTGAGATGACCACGGGCCTCCTGGAATATGGGTGTGGCCAACCAAGTTTCTGACATTTGAAAATGACTCCACTCTCAAAGTCACACCCTCAAATTCTGTGCCACTGCTTCACTCATCCCACACCTTTCTATTAATAGGGCCAACAATTTTGTTGGGCTCGCAGGTAGGTATCCCACACCCAAGAAACAGCTCAAACACCACGTGTCTCACAAAAGCTTTATTTGAATGAGGTCACATCTACACTTCTCATTTCAGTGTATAGACAACTCACAGTTTAGTGCTGTGATTCTAATACAAGTTATACAAAACCGGAACACACTGAATATAGTGCACTTGATAGAAAAATAAATTACAGTTTCAAAGCTACTGCAGAGCTTTACACATATAAAAAGTAAACAAAATAGTTAGTGAGGTCCTCATAACCAACCACTTATTGTGTCCAGATCTGAAGATAGGAAAGGGTTATGACACAAAAACACCTCTGATAAAGAGAAATCCTACAGAGTGACTGAATTATGGTCTCAAGCATGAGAAAGTAGGGGCTGACAGATCCGACCGCTGGACCTGGGGGAGAATCACAGCTCTACCAGTACGTTAACAACACACAGAATTCAGCTCAGGGAAAGCTTCCATAATACAAACCATATTCCTCATTCTGCGTGCTAATGTACAGGAAGTTTCCAACCATCCTCTGATCACTCAAGTATCAGTATTTACATTTTTGAGAGAAAAGAAAAGATAAATAACCGAGAATTATGCATTCTTCACTCTACACACTTATCCAAGTTTCGAAGCAACTACATGGTAAGATTAACCAGAAATTAGTGAGCTCTCAGAGATACAGAATCAACACCACAAACTGCACCCTGTCTGGCTGTGCCACTGGTGTGAGAGGATGCAACATCCAGATGGGCTGGGTGCCTCCAAGTGACAGATGACACTGCAGAGCCCATCTGAACCCCCACCTGTCTTCTAGGTATCCACTCTACAAAGCTGGAAATCAGGGACACGGATGCTTTGTAAATAAAACTTTAATGAACACAGCCACGTTCATGCGTATTGCTGTCCACGCTGCTTCTGTGCTGTGCCAGCAGAGCTGAGTGCTGAAGTATGTACTATCTCTAGCCTTTAGAGGACATGCATGTGACCTCCGTTGAGTGAGAAGATAAGAACTCTTTCTAAATCCTCACTCACAAAAATATCAAAGACTTTATGTGACTGGCAAATAATCCCATTACCAAAGATTCTAGAGGGACAGTGGAACTTTCAGGGCTTAGCTAAGAGAAGACAGAAATACAAGTTTTAGCTTGAATTGAGAAGCATGCTAGAGCAAGCGGTCTAGAAAAAGTCAAGGCTTTCATCTTTCATGTCCACAGGACCTCTGAGATTGTACAAAAGCAAATAAAAGCCAAAAAAGTTAGTAAAACTGTAAGAAGTACTTTTTCAAAAGAATTTTTCTTGACGTATGAAACTGTCAAGTACACAAGGAACCTACTCACTGCTGCTCAGCAGTCTCCCCAAGAGTGGGAGTGAAATAACTATGAGCCTCTCTTGTTAGAAAGGAGGTGCTGCAGACAAACCGAACTATGATGAACTCACTTGCTGAAAGAGAGTCCAGGCAGAAAGCCGCAATTTCTCATTCTGGTTTCTTTGGGGGTTTTTTTGTGTTTTTTGTTTTTGTACCAGGAATCGAACTCAGGATGTTGTACTTGCCAGGCAGGCACTTGTGCCACTGAGCTATATCCCCTGCCCGCAATTTCTCATCCTGTTTCAACTTCCATGACAGCCCTCTGTCCTCCTACCAGGACCTTCTGGCTGCTCCCTGTGCAAAGACAGTGGAGCAGCTTCTGCAACACTGTTTCCTGTGCACGAAACCATCAAGCAGGCCTGCAGTGTTCTCCGGCCCCTCCCACCTCAGCCCAGTGTCACCAGCTGCCTTCCTACCCAGTGTCTGCTCCAGCCTCTTCGCCAGCCTCCTCCACGGGTTCGCACATGCTTCCCTCTTCTCAGACAGACATTTCCCTTGCCTGCCCCCACAGCCACAGCGCTCCTCAGCCTTGCCTCTTCCCACCACTGCTGTTCTCAGGGGAACGGAACAGCATGAGCTAGTGTGGCAGCTCTGGGGACAACACTGGCAGCAGAGGTGACAGGAATCTTGTATCTGTCAGGTATCTAATCTATCAGGGATAATCCATCATTCATATTTACCATTTCATGTTTGGATACTGTACTTTTAGTGGAGATTCAAATGAAAGTTCCTATCAATATTTTGATTGGCAAGACTATAGGTACCCGAAGACAGAAAGGTGATGAAATATTTTCAGCTTAACTCCTAAATTTTGGAAAGTTTAAGATAAGCATCGTACTACCTTCTAAACTGGACGGGAAGTTCAGGTCTTCCAAGGCACAATGCCTTTAGCTGCTCTGCGGTTAGGAACACAACACTGACCCCTCAGGACACTCAGGGTTGTCAGGCACTGAAAAACTGATGCCCAGTTCAACACGTCCTGGGTCAGGTCAAGGTTCTATGTGCCACAGCTGCAAGAAAGCGTGTTTTACAGTATAACCAAGGGCTGCCGAGAGCAATCCAATGGAACTCACAAGCTTAGCATAATGGCTATGGGGAGGCAGCCAGTAAGAAGTGCCAACTTTTTCTCCTTTAGCAAAAATGTTTTGTGAAAAGTGCTTTCCCATCTATACAGCTCCCTGGGAAACAGTGCAAGATTAAAATTGCTGCGTTTCCAGTTTAATCCTACTGTGGTTCCCTCCACACATAAGTATGCTACAGGGAGCCCGAGATAGTTCAAACCATGAAATTTTTAAAGACCACATAACTGGATGCTCTTTTATACTGAGTAGTACAAATTAATGCTCAATCATATACACATTTCAGGGCAGAAAAATTAAAAAACAATTCCTAGGAGGTATAGTTTAACTCAGTCCTTGATGACTGATGACTTTCCCAACATAGTTTCCAGATCGTTTTTTCCCATAGCAACTGGGGCTTACTTCTTAGTCTACAGTTTGAAAGCTACATTAGTGTTATTTGTGAGTTTTCGGATTAACAGGTGGATATCTGTATACTCTTCTGTGATGCACAGGTATTGCTTTAACATCCACAAATTCTTGTACTGGCTAAAAGGGACGGAGGAAAACTTGAGAAGTCTTTTAACTAACCAAATCCCTACTGCAGGGTGACGTCTTTTAGTATGCGACACAGAATTTCACACATGGTAGGCATTTAAGAAACAAAATCCTGTCATCCTTATCCCTGTTCCCTACCTCTGTCTTGGTGTTTTTGTTTCTTCTTTCTTTCCAGTTTGAAAGCTCTCAATGTATTGGGCTTATATAGAAATGAAATGGAAGCTATGTCCACACAGGTACCGATGTGGAGTACTGCCTTTATTACTGAAGTCCAAAATGGCCTGCACACCTCACCTGGCTCAGGAGGGTAGGTGGATGCCCGGGGTCAATGCCTAGGGTCTCTTGATTAGGAATTTGCCCCGTCAGGCTGCAAAGTTAGTGTGGTACATGGGAATACTTCCTGTGGGACAGCAAAGCTGTAAAATTATATGATGGGACACTGATCGATCTGTTGTTCTCAATGTTTATGTGGCTAATTCACAGGAAGATAGCCACTTCATAAGAAGTCAAAAGTAGGGGGGACATTAAAAACCTTCTGTATTCTCAACTTCTCTTTAGTATTATACTAACTGTAAGAAGAACTGGCTCTAAATCTAGCTAGGTAGCATGTGCACCAATTTCTAAATTCCTGATTTACAATTAATGCATGGAAAAGTACAACTTCTTTAACATGCATTCAGATCAAGAATGCTTACCCTTATACTACAGAGGGAAACAGCAGTTGTGATGACTGCCAGCGGCAATCCGGTTATAAAGTCGTTCTAAACAGTTACAACCACTAGGTGGAGCCAAGAGTTTGAAGGAAAGTGCAGGGAAAGTAATCTCTTGATTCAGGAACTACAAACTCTAACGGAATTATAGAAAGTAAAAGACCAGATACCTTCCTCTAGGAAAGTACACAGGGTGATTAAATTCTTCCAGTTGGACGGAAAATGTAGCCTTTTAAAATGGAGTTGAAGTTAAATGCAGGTAGAGCTCTTTTACCAAATGCAAAGGACAGACTCCAGAATTCAACACATTCCAGCTGGAACAGATTCCAGGACGGACTGCTACAGAGTGCTGGGCATTCCAGTTACCAGCTGGGAGGAGCAGTCTCCTAGAGCTCAGTAGTCAGTAAACACTTCTGCTTCAAGACAGCGTCTTCAGCCAGAGCTGGTGCAGAACTAAAAAGAAGAGAGAATGGGTATTCAATGAAAAGGTCCGGGGTGGTGGGTGCAGAAGGGAACAGGACATGCTTGTTTCTACCAGCTCACATGGAGGTGTTGAGTAGATTACAGACCTAAATGGGTATGTGGTAACACCTAATGTAGTCAGTAAGATATTCTGCAGAAGGAAATTTTCTAGATAACTAATGGTTATTTTATTTTGAAATGTAAAATACCACAGTTCTGTGACCTGCTAGACTAGCACACGGCTGGAATCCCATCATAGTGGAAGAGTAAGGTAGGAGGTTTGTAAGTTCAAGGCCAGCCTGGGCAATTTAGTAAGACCCTGTCTCCAAATAAAAAACAAACAAAAATAATGAGTTAGGATGTAGCTTAATACAAAAGCCCTGGGGTCAATCCCTTAGTATCACCAAAAATGAAACACACACACACACGTAAAACCCTCAAAAGTTTCCTCTACTTCCTTGAATATGATATGCCTAATGTACAATTAACCATCTCTTCAAGTCAGAGAAATGAATATCAAGAATATTACTGTGCTGAGCATGACAGCAACATGCTCAGGAGATGGCAAAAGAAGTATAGTGCCCTGTGCTGCTTTACATAGTCCTAGATGGCTGTGCCCAAGTCCCTATACCAGTTAATTTATTTGTTAGAGCTCTGAGGAAAATGGAAAGACATGGCCTTTGCGTGAAGACCACAGGACTCTGCTATGGGTGAACTGCATGAGCTTATATGCAAGGATGTATCAATATCTAATTTGGTTTAATAAAAACTTAAAACAGTATAAAAGTACCTGATACAAAAAACACAATGTAAAGGCCAAAAGCACTTAAGAGATTCATAATTGAAATGCCAGTCATCTTCACTCTTACTACCCCACATGAGTAATTTCAACTGTTTTTTCTGGTAGTTTCTTTCACTTTCTAACCCCCCAGCTCCCAAACAGTGGTCCCTGGAATCTGTTAGAAATGCAAGTTCTTGGGCCACACCCCAGAAACACTGAATCAAGACACTGAATCAGGTGGGGCTGTTTTAACAAGTCTTTATCCAGAGATTCTGCTTCAGGAACAACACAAATTCTACTTGTTCTGAGTGATGTGTTCACCATGAAGGATAAACTTTCTCGTATCCCCATCGAGCCCCATAATCTTGCCTTCTTTTTAACACGGCTATCTGACTAATTTTGTTCATGTTAATATTCAGCATTTGCTAAAATTATGTAAAGATTTTTACAACTGGGTGTCAGTATATTATATTTCTTGTGTACAATTTTTGTTTGCTCTGGATTCAATAACCGACCCATTTTAAAAAATTATCCCTAGCTGGGCATGGGTGCATGCCTATAATCCCAGCACTCAGGAGGCTGAGGCAGAAGGATCACTGCAAGTTTGAGACCAGCTTTGGCTACAAAGTGAGCTCAAGGCCAGCCTGAACTACATAGTGAGACCCTGTTTCCACCCCCGCCACAAAAAAAAAATTATTCCTAGCATTTCAAGTAGAACTGTGAATCTCTTCTCAGTTTATTGAGTTGAGTGATGTAATTAAGAATCTGTTGTTACATTTTTATTTCTTGACAAAATCCTCCCTGGAACTCTTTATCCTCCTTTTTGAATCTGGACAGGATCTTTTCTAAACCTAATGGATGAACAGCTGCTGCTCAGGATTTCCTCTAGGTAAATCCCTGCCCCTTCTCTACTGTTTTCTTGGGTCCTATATTCCTTTTTACTTTTCTTTCTTTTGGGGGGAGAGGGGAATCACCTTGTTTTAACAGAATGTATCTTCAGTAGCTTTCTGACAAAGCCTGCTTGGAAAAAGTACATTTTACAGAACTGTATGTCTAAAACTATCTCTAGTCTAATGCCACATTTCACTGATAAGTTTTTCTGGATATAAAACTTTAGTGAAAAAAAAGAGTTCCCTCCGGAATTCTGAAGGTATTGCTCCTTTATTTTCTAGCTTTCAGTAACATCTGCTCCCATTTTGATGCCAATCCTTGCCAGGTGCTTTCATTTCCCCGTCACTGGAGCTTTATATTCTGTCTTCACTTTAATCTGAAGCTTCATGACGTTCCTTGAGCCTATTTTCATTCTTTGTGGGACATGCAGCAGGTCCCTTTAATCTAGATACTTAGGTCCTTACACTGTAGGAACTCTTGATTTCTGTCTTTGACAATCTCCTCACTTGCACTAACTAGTCTTCTTTCTGGACTTCCTAGGATTTATATACTGCACTTCATAGACTAATCTTCCAATTTTCTTAGCCTTTTCTCTCCCAGTTTTTACCTTTTTTCTAGTTTTGGGGAAATAGCTTTAACCTTTTTTTTTTTTTTTTTTTAGCTTTTTTTTTTTTTTTTTTTTTTTTTTTTTTTTTT